TAGTCCAGAAACTGGACCTTTCTCTGATTGGTCGTAAAACAAAAGAATCTTTAAGCCCGCCTTTCTGATTAGTTAGTGATTGGATATCTGACTTCCGGTGTAAATTTCAAACACGATCACGAAGCCTGGTAGCCGCGGATATAGATATACTTGTATAAAGCGAATTTTCAGCCTGGAGACCGTGATCTTCAACGGCTATAACTTCGTCTCTTCAAGATTTTATTCACAATGGAATGCATCCGGAAGATCAGAAGTTTTGGCCGTGCATCCGACATGATTTGGCAGAAACATGTGTAGTTGACGCAGTTGTGAGGAGTCCCCAGGAATATATTTGTTCTAATGTTTATTCCCGGACTTTTAAACACTTCCGATAAAAAAGAGATTCTCATGTTCCACCAATTTTTCAATCCATATTTTGTTTCTTGACGGTAACAGAGACATTTCAACTTGCTATTTCTTTTGCCTGGAAAGTAATCATGTACATTGCGCTTTGTCGCTTGAGCGCTTCCAACCGGCCTCATGAACATGTTTTCAGTAAAATCTGATTGGCTCACATTTATAGTATGTAATAAGATCACATCGCTGATGATAGGTAAAGAACGAAGGGGCGACAGACGACTCGTGAAGGAAATGTATCAGGTGTTGTTTTTTGCCCTCTTCCACCGTTCGTCAGAAAAAGAAAACAACGCCTGATCGCAGGTTAGGCCATATCAGGCCAGTAACCTGATATCGCAGAATACAGTTCAACCCCTATTAAACGGCTACCCTCGGGGAAATGGATAGTGGCCGCTTAAAAGGGGTTGGCCGCTTAGTAGAGGTGAAAACAACAGAAAAGCCCGCATCGCAACTTTGATTACTGGCCACCTAATATAGGGGTGGCCGTTTAATAAGTGGCCGCTTTATAGGGCTTGGTAGAACGCTTCTAGTTGCCTAATTTGCTAATTGGGCCATGTTTTACCAGTCTGCGTTTTACTAGTCCTCCTTTTACAAGTCCGCGTTTTACAAGTCCGGGTTTTACTAGTCCACGTTTTACTAGTCCTCCTTTTACTAGTCCTCGTTTTACAAGTCCGGGTTTTACTAGTCCACGTTTTACTAGTCCTCCTTTTACTAGTCCTCGTTTTACAAGTCCGGGTTTTACTAGTCCACGTTTTACTAGTCCTCCTTTTACTAGTCCTCGTTTTACAAGTCCGCGTTTTACTAGTCCACGTTTTACTAGCCGCATTTAACTAGTCCTCGTTTTACTAGTCCACGTTTTACTAGTCCTCCTTTTACTAGTCCTCGTTTTACAAGTCCGCGTTGTACTAGTCCTCGTTTCACTAGCCGCATTTAACTAGTCCGCGTTTTACAAGTCCGCGTTTTACTAGTCCGCGTTTTACAAGTACTCATTTGACAAGTACAGTCCAGTCCAGTCCAGTCCAGTCCAGTCTATTCCAGTCTAGTCCAGTCCAGTTCAGTCTAGTCCAGTCCAGTCCAGTCTAGTCTAGTCTAGTCTCCATATACAGGATGCAACGTGAAACAGCCTGAAAAAAAAAAGCCATTTCAATGGACGTCCGGGATCAATGGTGTGGGTATTGTGATTGGATGAATAATAAACATGCCACAGAAGTTAGCCAATGGGATGTTGCCAAATTGTAAACCCTATCGGTGACTAAGCCGCCGACTGGCCGAAACTAACCAGCGACGCCAATAGTAAACAGCATCAAACGAGCGTCGAGTTATTGTAGCCAAACTAAACACCAGTAAAGTTTTGGAAAAAATGAATAAGACATCGTTCCTCTGTTTCGTTCTATTGCTGGGAAGCATGTCTCCAGTACAAGTCAAAGGTTAGTGCATCATAACATTTAATTCCGACTACGACAGTGCAAATTTTAGTAAAGCGGCAGACAACTATCGCTGCAGCCAAACTCAACTCACTGCTATGCCTGCAAAGAAAGGTTTGGATGTTTTAGTCTATATTCCTCCTTGATCCTAAAATTCTGTTGTTGATATATTTGAGGTTTTAAGAGCTTTTCGACATCTGTTTTTCTATTTTCTGTAGCAAATTAATCCATGTAGAGTTTGCTCTATGGCAACGCCGAATGTACGGTTATTGCAATTTTTTTCTGAAATTTGGAGGCAGGTGATGACCGAGAACATTTCCGACTACCGCAAAAATTAGATAGTATCAATAAAAGAACCAACTTTAGTCTAGTAATGTCTGCAGGATAAGAAAAACATACAATTCTGAGCACCAAATTTGCCAAATGTGAAGTTCTACAGCACTGCGTTTTCGTGGAATCTCAGTGCTCAGTTTCCGAGAAATCATTAATTATGGATGCAAACATGTACGAGATATGATATGTTCACTACAGTTCGAATNAAATTGTAAACCCTATCGGTGACTAAGCCGCCGAATCGCCGAAACTAACCAGCGACGCCAATAGTAAACAGTATCAAGCGAGCGCCGAGTGTTGTAGCCAAACTAAACATCAGTAAAGTTTTGGAAAAAATGAATAAGACATCGTTCCTCTGTTTCGTTCTGTTGCTGGGAAGCATGTCTCCAGTACAAGTCAAAGGTTAGTGCATCATAACATTTAATTCCGACTACGACAGTGCAAATTTAGTGAAGCGGCAGACAACTATCTCTACAGCCAAACTCAACTCACTGCTGTGCCTGCGAAGAAACGTTTGGATGTTTTAGTCTATATTTCTCCTTGATCCTAAAATTCTGTTGTTGATATATTTGAGGTCTTAAGAGCTTTTTGACATCTGTTTTCCTATTTTGTGTAGCAAATTAGTCCATGTAGATTTTGCTCTATGGCGACGCTGAATGTGCAGTTATTGCAATTTGTTTCTGAAATTTGGAGGCAGGTAATGACCGAGAACATCTCCGACTACCGCAAAATTAGGTAGTGTCAATAAAAGAACCAACTTTAGTCTAGTAATGTCTGCAGGATAAGAAAAACATACAATTCTGAGCACCAAATTTGCCAAATGTGAAGTTCTACAGCACTGCGTTTTCGTGGAATCTCAGTGCTCAGTTTCCGAGAAATCATTAATTATGGATGCAAACATGTACGAGATATGATATGTTCACTACAGTTCGAATATCAAAGATGTTGTGTTACCCCTTATCTACTTCAGTATATCAGTTAGGCTTTGTATGAAAATTTACGCATAACTTGGAAGAATTTGCCTCATATTTATTTCACTTCAGCCCCTTGTTAGGATACACTTATGATTACTATCCGAAGGAAAGACCGTGATATGATCTACATCAATATGACCAAGTATAGGCGTTCTTGATCCCAGTGATCAAACAGGATCCTTGAATTGTTCCATCATGTAGTCAGTGTCTGTTGTTTTTAGCACTTTCTTTTCTCCGCGAAATTAACGCTTTTACATGTTAATCAACTTTGCTAAAATAATTTGCCCACTCTGTGAAACAACTAAGACAACATGTAAACACCATATACAAATTATTCCATGTTGAGCTTGCACTATGGCAACGCTGAATTTAAAGTTATTCAGCTTTTTTCTGAAATTTGGAGGCACATAATGACCAATAACACCTGCGACTGCCGCAAAAATAAGCTAATATCAATAAAAGAACCAGCTTTAGTGTAGTAATGTCTGTAGGATGAAAAAAATATACAATTTTGAGCACCAAATTTGCCAAATGTAAAGTTCCGCGACACTGCGTTTTCATGGAACTCAATATTCAGTTTCCGAGAAATCATCATGCACACAGTTATGAGATGTGATATGTTTACTATCGGCAGCCTTCAGACCTACTCGTCTGTTCGAATGTCGAAGGTGTTGTGTTACTTTTTATCAACCTCAGTATATCAGTTAGGCTTTGTACGAAAATTAACATTTAATTTGGAAGAATTTGCGTTATATTTATTTCAGTTGCTACTTCAGTTCAGCCCCTTGTTAGGATACGCAGTGTCTGTTGCTTTTAGCACTTTCTTTTCTCCACGAAAATAACGTTTTTACATGAAATCAAGTTTGCTAAACTAACATGTGCTTTTAAGTCAAGTTTGCCCATTCTGTGAAAATAACTAAGAGAACGTGTAATTCCCACTGCAAAGGAAGCCTAATAAATAGTACCTCTAACTGCTATACGCTAAAACTGAATTAGTCGTCCACAAACCTCTTGAGTCCTGGAGCTGAGATGTCTGTCAAATTATTCTCATATGCAGCATGAATACTTACAAATGCCCGTAATTGTAAACGATGTTACCATAACACATTAGAACTATCCCGCTTGATCATGGTAGGCTAACTGATCACCGATCCACTAAACCCTTCCAAAATGAAACTTATGAATAATTAAGGTGGTTACTGTGGAATGACAGGTGATGTTAGCGAAAGATCGACTAAAAGGATCGAGGAACTGGGTGAAAATGAAATTAAAACCATTATTTTGTAAACAGAACTGATATCGACGAACAAAATCAGGTAAATGAAGTGGTTGGCTCATTTCAGAGCATACATGGTAAACACTTGTAAAATTGAGTATTTTGGACTGAGAGATAGCTCAGATATTTATTTTTAAAGCAAATCAAAAAGGAGATGGGCCGATAGAGAGGGAACGGCCGCATCACTTCTGCGCTAAGCCAGTGAAATACCAATGTGGTAGACCCTCTCTTAGTTACTCAACACTGCCCCGAATTCTTGAAACGTCGACATGTTCATAAAACTCTTCTATACCTATACCTTTCCGATACTTCCAATGACATCAACAAGAGGACCAAAGCACAATTTTTTCCCTTCACTAGATTTTCTTTAACGATAAACCTCCCAACTGATTTTCAATTTTGACACAAACTTTACAGCTGTCCCAAAAGAGCTGTGTATCGAACGAATACTATCTGTCTTATTCAACAGGGTGGAGCTGGACAGATGTGGCCTTGGCAGGAGTAGCGGGAGCTGCTGCAGTAGTGGCCGCACCTGCTGTTCTCACGGCAGCAGGGTTCACTTCCGCAGGAGTTGCCGCGGGATCTCTTGCAGCAGCGACTCAGTCAGCCGTTTACGGAGGATATGTGGCTTCTGGAAGTGCATTTGCATTAGCTCAGAGTGCAGGTGCCGCTGGGATTGGCGCAAAAGGAGCAGCAGCTATTTTCACAACCGTGGGAGGAACTACTCTGTACTCTAAGGAAGACTAGCCTGGCATTTAAACAACAGTTCTGATGCTCGATTTGATGGTAGAACAGAGCCATAGACTATTGCTGTTTTCTTCTAAACTGGTTTGTCTCTGTATTGTACGGATGCCGATAAGCGCTTTTGTTGTTTTTTTCGCCAGTTGAAATTGTATTCATTTTGGTACATTTTGTCCAGTATTCGTTTGATTGTTTAAGTAATAGCTGAGTAGTTGATATTAAATTAAGAGAACACTTCTTGGTTTATGATTTTCTTAATTGTCGTTTTTTTAATGTTATAAGGTGAAGTCATATTAATGTTGCTCTCTTTTTTATTTCAATAATGAAAGGATTCAAAGAAAGGGAAGCAAAACGTATCCATCGAAAAGTTGCGAAGTGTAAACTTTCATAGGGGCTGATATAATATTCAGTTACCATATGTATGGTTTAGTCATAGGAACTTCACATGAATAAATCGTTATAATAGAGAGCAACGTTAATGCGCAAAACGATTCACGCCGTGACAAAGGCTATTTTTACAATAACCGCCAAATTTCTCGCGCACTCATTGAGTTTTTTTTGTAGTCAACATGAGAACAGACATTTAGCTGACGCCGTCACACGGGTACAAGATACCTTTTCGTTACCTTCGGCGGCATCTCGGGCGAGTTTGGTCGAGAGATGACTCGGGAGACGAAGTCGAGCAAAAATACTCAAGACGAGACCAAACGGGGCTATAATGCGGTACGATTAGGTATTTACCCTACTCAAGCCACATTAACGGCCATATCTAGCCTGCGATCTGGCGTTCTTTTTCACAGCAGGGGGAAGGAGAATAAGAGAACGTCTGATACAATTATTTCACCTGTCGTCTGCCTGTAGTCCAGAAACTGGACTTTTTTCTGATTGGTCGTAAAACAAAAGAATCTTTAAGCCCGCCTTTCTGATTGGTTTCGTGATTGGATATCTGACTTCCGGTGTAAATTTGAAACACGATCACGAAGCCTGGCGGCCGCGGACATAGTTATACTTGTATAAAGCGAATTTTCAGCCCGGAGGCCGTGATCTTCAGCGGCTATAACTTTGTCTCTTTAAGATTTTATTCACAGTGGAATGCATCGGAAGATCAGAAGTTTTGGCCATGCTTCCGACGTGATTTTGTAGAAACATGTGCAGTTGACGCAGTTGTGAGTTGTCCCCAAGAATATATTTGTTCTAATGTTTATTCCCGGACTTTTGAACACTTGCGATAAAAAAAAAAAAACAGATTCTGATGTTCCACCAATTTTTCAATGCATATTTTGTTTCTTGACGGTAACAGAGACATTTCAACTTGCTATTCCTTTTGCCTGGAAAGTAAGCATGTACATTGCGCTTTGTCGCTTAAGCGCTTCCAACTGGCCGCGTGGATTTCCAGTAAAATCTGATTGGCTCACATTTATAGTATGACAAAAGATAACGTCGCTGCTGACAGGTAAGGAACGAAGGGGCGACAGACGACTCGTGATGGAAATGTATCAGGTGTTCTTTCTTCCCTCTTCACCCGTTCGACAGAAAAAGAAAAGAACGCCTGATCGCAGGTTAGGCTACATCAGGCCAGTAACTTGATATCGCAGAATACAGTTCAACCCCTATTAAACGGCCACCCTTGGGGCAAATGGATAGTGGCCGCTTAGAAGGGGTCGGCCGCTTAAAAGAGGTAGAAACAATAGAAAAGCCCTCATCGGGACTTTGATTACTGGCCAACTAATAGGGGTGGTCAGTTAATACGTGGCCTCATAATAGGGGTTGGTACATGGCTTCTGACTAGTTCTTTTGCTAATCGGGGCCATTTAAACGGCAAATTGGTTGTGTCGCAGTGAGGCGTAGAAGGAAAAGTTCCTTTGGATGCAATTACCTCCAACACTCAGGGTTATCAAGGATTTTAGCCAGACGGTCTTTTCTGTTGTCTTATGCAAATAAGCTTTATTGTTTTCGTTTATTGAAAAATATCACGTCAGTTGTTATGTGAAGCGTAATGGGTGCGCAGAATGCTCTGACACTGCTGTAGCTTGTGTGCCAGCTCTCTTGGCAGCTGTGACAGTAGGGGTCGGCCGACTCTAAGAGCTGCTGAGTTTATCAGGACAGACGTATCAGAAATTGATATTAATTTTATAAGAAGCGTTGGGGATTATTTCTGGTGTGTTTTACACGAAACACAATAGAAAGCGTTCAACAAAGTTCAATTTATTCGAACATTCCCAAACTAAGTACCCTATTTCATATCATATTCCATAACAGGATTCATAGAATGGAATAGTCACATCAAGAACTAATGATGAAATTGATGATCACAGTTTTAAGTTCATCGGCAACAGTCAACAACTCTAATACGACTTGTGGTAAATCTGATTTTGACTAAGGGCGAGCAAGCAAAGCCAGTTGTCTACAAGATGGATTCCAGAGAAGTGAATCCATATCTCTGCGGTGCTCTGGATGAAGCGACATCTTTGCCTTGAAACTCTGAGTTCACGAGATATTCTTTGCCCATTTTCTCCTGACACCATGTAAGCACCTTGTCAATATTCGGGGTTTTAACTTTCACAATTTCTGCGATACCGCGGATTACAGCCAAACCGTAAGGGATATCCTCCGTCATGTACCGGTACGTGAAATCTGGCACGAATTTGCCGTCTTCAGTTGTCTTGACTGGGTGTTTCAATCCTTGGTAGGCAGCATTGGTCTGTATTGCGGTGTACAGGTTTGTCTTATCGGAAATATCTTGTGGATAGCATCGCATGTACCACTGGTAAATGTGGACAACCTATTATTGAGAAATGTTTTTCAATAATTTTGATCAAAAAAGGCAAAGTCTGCATACGAACCAAGTAGCCCGTCAGGCCGGAGCTTATCCCGGTTTGGCTGCAGGCTGAAGCGACTAGGAGTATTTTTACTCCCCCCTGGATGGGACGCTAGTCCATCGCAGGGTTACGCCCGACATAAAGGTCGCCGTTACCCATTTATACACCTGGGTGGAGAGAGGCCCTGTCAGAGAAAAGTGTCTTGCCCAAGAACACAACGCAATGTCTCCGGCCAGGGTAGCAATCCTGACCGCTCGATCCCGAGACTAGCACGCTAACCATGAGACCACCACGCCTCCCAATAATTTTGGTTCTAGTCTTATTCAGTTCAGACTCGTGGAAAAACATCAGCTATCAATTGCATACTCCCCGTTTCCTAATTTACGTGGCCTGTCCCAGGCTTTCGGTAGTGGGGGACGAGAGAAAACACAAAAGCGCGAGCGAGAGAAAAAACGAGGGAGGATTAAGGCGTCAGTCTCCCCTCGTTTTTTTCTCGCTCTCCCTCTTTTTTCCGTTCGTTCCCAACTACCGAGAGCCTGGAACAGGCTATAATTTGTCATCAAGGAGAGCTAGGGTTGGGCAGGGGTGCAAAAATAGGGAGTAGAAGGGCCAAACGATATATTGCACCCAGTTAGAAAGAGCAAGCTTAATACGATACCAGTTACAAGAGGGGAACAACCAATTACCAAATCTTTGTCACTAAAGAAGCCAGATAAGATAACCACCAAAAAAAACTAAAAGCTATTAACCAGGTGCAATATGTTCTTTAAAAATACGCAGGTGACAATAATTATCTTACGTTAGACATGTCAGCTCCTGACCTCTCCCCGACAACCCTGGCAATCATTACAACCTCATCTGATACACTGGAAAGGAGGTTCGCAGCTGACTCAGTCAGGCCATTGTAGAACAGAGGTGGCTGATCAAGTGGATTTCCGTCCCACCCCTCCCACTGACCATACAGTATTGACGTGTGCAGGTAGGCATTAGTGCTCATTAACTGAACACCCAACAGGTGACCAAAAACGATCAGTTTAGGGAGGGGACCCAGGAGATATTGCAGTGTGGAAACAGGGTCCTTCTGTGGTTCCACGCCAGTTCCTTTCTGTAAAACAAGGCCAACTGCAAAAGTTACGAAAAGGTAAAACATCGAATGGGAAGAAACTCAGGCTTTATCGGCTCAAAAGTCAAATTGACTCCTAAACCATTTATTGATCTGTGTATGATTTCAATAAAAAACCGAGCTGAGTAGAGACGTCTGTTTGTATTGTTTGTTCTTAAGCAAAAGAGGACTTTTTTTCCCTGCGAGGGGAAAAACGGGTGTGGGAGAATTCGAGACAGTTACGCAAACCCGAGACGCAGTCGAGGGTTTGCAAAACTTTCGAGAATTCTGCCAACCCCGTGAGTGTTCAGATGAGGCTATGCAAACACGGAAAAAAGTCCCGTTTTGCTTTTAGAAAACGTTTCTCAAAAACTGTGTTTACATACTCTAACCTAAACACACCTATCGACCAATGAGAGCGGATGCACTATCTTAAATATTCTATAAATCTCTTTCAGTCGAGACTGTTGCTCTTCACTACATGCAAGACAGATAAACTGAATTACTAAAACCTGAACTAGAAGCTGAAATTTGCCAATTTCAACTTGTGCACCCTCTCAAATAATGTGTCAGTTTCTATTGCAGTGGAACCCTGTCTTAAAGACATTCGCGAAATAAGGACAACTCTCCAAACGTGGTACGACTTTGGTTTCGGTCCATAGCTCTAAACAGTTCACTTAAATTAACCCGCATCTTATATAGAACCCCTGTTTGATACGGGCTCATTCTATGCTATTCTTATTNCAACGCTGAATTTAAAGTTATTCAGCTTTTTTCTGAAATTTGGAGGCACATAATGACCAATAACACCTGCGACTGCCGCAAAAATAAGCTAATATCAATAAAAGAACCAGCTTTAGTGTAGTAATGTCTGTAGGATGAAAAAAACATACAATTTTGAGCACCAAATTTGCCAAATGTAAAGTTCCGCGACACTGCGTTTTCATGGAACTCAATATTCAGTTTCCGAGAAATCATCATGCACACAGTTATGAGATGTGATATGTTTACTATCGGCAGCCTTCAGACCTACTCGTCTGTTCGAATGTCGAAGGTGTTGTGTTACTTTTTATCAACCTCAGTATATCAGTTAGGCTTTGTACGAAAATTAACATTTAATTTGGAAGAATTTGCGTTATATTTATTTCAGTTGCTACTTCAGTTCAGCCCCTTGTTAGGATACGCAGTGTCTGTTGCTTTTAGCACTTTCTTTTCTCCACGAAAATAACGCTTTTACATGAAATCAAGTTTGCTAAACTAACATGTGCTTTTAAGTCAAGTTTGCCCATTCTGTGAAAATAACTAAGACAACGTGTAATTCCCACTGCAAAGGAAGCCTAATAAATAGTACCTCTAACTGCTATACGCTAAAACTGAATTAGTCGTCCACAAACCTCTTGAGTCCTGGAGCTGAGATGTCTGTCAAATTATTCTCATATGCAGCATGAATACTTACAAATGCCCGTAATTGTAAACGATGTTACCATAACACATTAGAACTATCCCGCTTGATCATGGTAGGCTAACTGATCACCGATCCACTAAACCCTTCCAAAATGAAACTTATGAATAATTAAGGTGGTTACTGTGGAATGACAGGTGATGTTAGCGAAAGATCGACTAAAAGGATCGAGGAACTGGGTGAAAATGAAATTAAAACCATTATTTTGTAAACAGAACTGATATCGACGAACAAAATCAGGTAAATGAAGTGGTTGGCTCATTTCAGAGCATACATGGTAAACACTTGTAAAATTGAGTATTTTGGACTGAGAGATAGCTCAGATATTTATTTTTAAAGCAAATCAAAAAGGAGATGGGCCGATAGAGAGGGAACGGCCGCATCACTTCTGCGCTAAGCCAGTGAAATACCAATGTGGTAGACCCTCTCTTAGTTACTCAACACTGCCCCGAATTCTTGAAACGTCGACATGTTCATAAAACTCTTCTATACCTATACCTTTCCGATACTTCCAATGACATCAAGAAGAGGACCAAAGCACAATTTTTTCCCTTCACTAGATTTTCTTTAACGATAAACCTCCCAACTGATTTTCAAGCCATAGACTATTGCTGTTTTCTTCTAAACTGGTTTGTCTCTGTATTGTACGGATGCCGATAAGCGCTTTTGTTGTTTTTTTCGCCAGTTGAAATTGTATTCATTTTGGTACATTTTGTCCAGTATTCGTTTGATTGTTTAAGTAATAGCTGAGTAGTTGATATTAAATTAAGAGAACACTTCTTGGTTTATGATTTTCTTAATTGTCGTTTTTTTAATGTTATAAGGTGAAGTCATATTAATGTTGCTCTCTTTTTTATTTCAATAATGAAAGGATTCAAAGAAAGGGAAGCAAAACGTATCCATCGAAAAGTTGCGAAGTGTAAACTTTCATAGGGGCTGATATAATATTCAGTTACCATATGTATGGTTTAGTCATAGGAACTTCACATGAATAAATCGTTATAATAGAGAGCAACGTTAATGCGCAAAACGATTCACGCCGTGACAAAGGCTATTTTTACAATAACCGCCAAATTTCTCGCGCACTCATTGAGTTTTTTTTGTAGTCAACATGAGAACAGACATTTAGCTGACGCCGTCACACGGGTACAAGATACCTTTTCGTTACCTTCGGCGGCATCTCGGGCGAGTTTGGTCGAGAGATGACTCGGGAGACGAAGTCGAGCAAAAATACTCAAGACGAGACCAAACGGGGCTATAATGCGGTACGATTAGGTATTTACCCTACTCAAGCCACATTAACGGCCATATCTAGCCTGCGATCTGGCGTTCTTTTTCACAGCAGGGGGAAGGAGAATAAGAGAACGTCTGATACAATTATTTCACCTGTCGTCTGCCTGTAGTCCAGAAACTGGACTTTTTTCTGATTGGTCGTAAAACAAAAGAATCTTTAAGCCCGCCTTTCTGATTGGTTTCGTGATTGGATATCTGACTTCCGGTGTAAATTTGAAACACGATCACGAAGCCTGGCGGCCGCGGACATAGTTATACTTGTATAAAGCGAATTTTCAGCCCGGAGGCCGTGATCTTCAGCGGCTATAACTTTGTCTCTTTAAGATTTTATTCACAGTGGAATGCATCGGAAGATCAGAAGTTTTGGCCATGCTTCCGACGTGATTTTGTAGAAACATGTGCAGTTGACGCAGTTGTGAGTTGTCCCCAAGAATATATTTGTTCTAATGTTTATTCCCGGACTTTTGAACACTTGCGATAAAAAAAAAAAAACAGATTCTGATGTTCCACCAATTTTTCAATGCATATTTTGTTTCTTGACGGTAACAGAGACATTTCAACTTGCTATTCCTTTTGCCTGGAAAGTAAGCATGTACATTGCGCTTTGTCGCTTAAGCGCTTCCAACTGGCCGCGTGGATTTCCAGTAAAATCTGATTGGCTCACATTTATAGTATGACAAAAGATAACGTCGCTGCTGACAGGTAAGGAACGAAGGGGCGACAGACGACTCGTGATGGAAATGTATCAGGTGTTCTTTCTTCCCTCTTCACCCGTTCGACAGAAAAAGAAAAGAACGCCTGATCGCAGGTTAGGCTACATCAGGCCAGTAACTTGATATCGCAGAAAACAGTTCAACCCCTATTAAACGGCCACCCTTGGGGCAAATGGATAGTGGCCGCTTAGAAGGGGTCGGCCGCTTAAAAGAGGTAGAAACAATAGAAAAGCCCTCATCGGGACTTTGATTACTGGCCAACTAATAGGGGTGGTCAGTTAATACGTGGCCTCATAATAGGGGTTGGTACATGGCTTCTGACTAGTTCTTTTGCTAATCGGGGCCATTTAAACGGCAAATTGGTTGTGTCGCAGTGAGGCGTAGAAGGAAAAGTTCCTTTGGATGCAATTACCTCCAACACTCAGGGTTATCAAGGATTTTAGCCAGACGGTCTTTTCTGTTGTCTTATGCAAATAAGCTTTATTGTTTTCGTTTATTGAAAAATATCACGTCAGTTGTTATGTGAAGCGTAATGGGTGCGCAGAATGCTCTGACACTGCTGTAGCTTGTGTGCCAGCTCTCTTGGCAGCTGTGACAGTAGGGGTCGGCCGACTCTAAGAGCTGCTGAGTTTATCAGGACAGACGTATCAGAAATTGATATTAATTTTATAAGAAGCGTTGGGGATTATTTCTGGTGTGTTTTACACGAAACACAATAGAAAGCGTTCAACAAAGTTCAATTTATTCGAACATTCCCAAACTAAGTACCCTATTTCATATCATATTCCATAACAGGATTCATAGAATGGAATAGTCACATCAAGAACTAATGATGAAATTGATGATCACAGTTTTAAGTTCATCGGCAACAGTCAACAACTCTAATACGACTTGTGGTAAATCTGATTTTGACTAAGGGCGAGCAAGCAAAGCCAGTTGTCTACAAGATGGATTCCAGAGAAGTGAATCCATATCTCTGCGGTGCTCTGGATGAAGCGACATCTTTGCCTTGAAACTCTGAGTTCACGAGATATTCTTTGCCCATTTTCTCCTGACACCATGTAAGCACCTTGTCAATATTCGGGGTTTTAACTTTCACAATTTCTGCGATACCGCGGATTACAGCCAAACCGTAAGGGATATCCTCCGTCATGTACCGGTACGTGAAATCTGGCACGAATTTGCCGTCTTCAGTTGTCTTGACTGGGTGTTTCAATCCTTGGTAGGCAGCATTGGTCTGTATTGCGGTGTACAGGTTTGTCTTATCGGAAATATCTTGTGGATAGCATCGCATGTACCACTGGTAAATGTGGACAACCTATTATTGAGAAATGTTTTTCAATAATTTTGATCAAAAAAGGCAAAGTCTGCATACGAACCAAGTAGCCCGTCAGGCCGGAGCTTATCCCGGTTTGGCTGCAGGCTGAAGCGACTAGGAGTATTTTTACTCCCCCCTGGATGGGACGCTAGTCCATCGCAGGGTTACGCCCGACATAAAGGTCGCCGTTACCCATTTATACACCTGGGTGGAGAGAGGCCCTGTCAGAGAAAAGTGTCTTGCCCAAGAACACAACGCAATGTCTCCGGCCAGGGTAGCAATCCTGACCGCTCGATCCCGAGACTAGCACGCTAACCATGAGACCACCACGCCTCCCAATAATTTTGGTTCTAGTCTTATTCAGTTCAGACTCGTGGAAAAACATCAGCTATCAATTGCATACTCCCCGTTTCCTAATTTACGTGGCCTGTCCCAGGCTTTCGGTAGTGGGGGACGAGAGAAAACACAAAAGCGCGAGCGAGAGAAAAAACGAGGGAGGATTAAGGCGTCAGTCTCCCCTCGTTTTTTTCTCGCTCTCCCTCTTTTTTCCGTTCGTTCCCAACTACCGAGAGCCTGGAACAGGCTATAATTTGTCATCAAGGAGAGCTAGGGTTGGGCAGGGGTGCAAAAATAGGGAGTAGAAGGGCCAAACGATATATTGCACCCAGTTAGAAAGAGCAAGCTTAATACGATACCAGTTACAAGAGGGGAACAACCAATTACCAAATCTTTGTCACTAAAGAAGCCAGATAAGATAACCACCAAAAAAAACTAAAAGCTATTAACCAGGTGCAATATGTTCTTTAAAAATACGCAGGTGACAATAATTATCTTACGTTAGACATGTCAGCTCCTGACCTCTCCCCGACAACCCTGGCAATCATTACAACCTCATCTGATACACTGGAAAGGAGGTTCGCAGCTGACTCAGTCAGGCCATTGTAGAACAGAGGTGGCTGATCAAGTGGATTTCCGTCCCACCCCTCCCACTGACCATACAGTATTGACGTGTGCAGGTAGGCATTAGTGCTCATTAACTGAACACCCAACAGGTGACCAAAAACGATCAGTTTAGGGAGGGGACCCAGGAGATATTGCAGTGTGGAAACAGGGTCCTTCTGTGGTTCCACGCCAGTTCCTTTCTGTAAAACAAGGCCAACTGCAAAAGTTACGAAAAGGTAAAACATCGAATGGGAAGAAACTCAGGCTTTATCGGCTCAAAAGTCAAATTGACTCCTAAACCATTTATTGATCTGTGTATGATTTCAATAAAAAACCGAGCTGAGTAGAGACGTCTGTTTGTATTGTTTGTTCTTAAGCAAAAGAGGACTTTTTTTCCCTGCGAGGGGAAAAACGGGTGTGGGAGAATTCGAGACAGTTACGCAAACCCGAGACGCAGTCGAGGGTTTGCAAAACTTTCGAGAATTCTGCCAACCCCGTGAGTGTTCAGATGAGGCTATGCAAACACGGAAAAAAGTCCCGTTTTGCTTTTAGAAAACGTTTCTCAAAAACTGTGTTTACATACTCTAACCTAAACACACCTATCGACCAATGAGAGCGGATGCACTATCTTAAATATTCTATAAATCTCTTTCAGTCGAGACTGTTGCTCTTCACTACATGCAAGACAGATAAACTGAATTACTAAAACCTGAACTAGAAGCTGAAATTTGCCAATTTCAACTTGTGCACCCTCTCAAATAATGTGTCAGTTTCTATTGCAGTGGAACCCTGTCTTAAAGACATTCGCGAAATAAGGACAACTCTCCAAACGTGGTACGACTTTGGTTTCGGTCCATAGCTCTAAACAGTTCACTTAAATTAACCCGCATCTTATATAGAACCCCTGTTTGATACGGGCTCATTCTATGCTATTCTTATTTCCATAGTTCCTATCGTATCCGTATGATCTTGATTTCTGGTGATTAAAAAATATTCTCTCGAATACTTTGAACGATGCCTAAAAGGTCACTTCAACTTCCTAATCCCGAATTTTTAAGAGACTTTCAGATAGACATCTTGCAATTTTAACGAGTTGTAAAGTATGTCACTATTCAGCCGCTTCGGAGGCTGCAATGATTTTAATTAAAGCTATCTAGCTATCTATCTATCAGACATAATTCTATCTTTCATCATGACATGAGATAACTACCTGAACTCAGCAACATTCTCTCATTCTTTCACCTCGGAAGTCCAGAATTTTGTCTCAATAGGGATAAAAACTGACTACAGGCAATTAGTGTACAACATACCTTCAAGGCTCCCTGTAAGGTTTCCTTTGTGCCAAGAACCTCACATCTAACACCAAACTCAGTGATGCGGCATGCCCATGGTAGTGACTCAAAATTCATGATCGTGCATTGCTGTGCTATTTCGCCTAGCACGTGACGAACTTGAAACTCAAACCCTGGTTCTCCTGGTAGGCCGACTAATATTGTGCCAGGTTTTATGTATGGCTTCAAGGTATCAAGAAAAACTTGATGAGCAAATCCCGGCAGCACAAATACCACGATGTCAACATCTCGGATGGCCTCCTCTGGGTTTTTCGTTATCAGTGCAGGTTTAGACACAATAGATGTTGAATCCTTTCCCTTCCGATGTAAGACAACTTCCAGGTCTGTCTTCTGCATTGCAGCACTCCAACGTTCTGCTTCATCTTGATACAAACTAAGCACTCGAACTTCAGTTCCTTTCAAAGATGACGCGATACCGGCAAAAGCGTGCGCTCCATTACCACTTCCACAAATCAACAGCTTAATGGTGTCTGAACTCATCTCCTGTTAAGAAAAGCAACGATGTAATAAGTCCCAATGTACCGCTTTGACGATAACATTACACTCGCAAAAAAATACGCACCTCTAATTAGCCATGACTCTTACGAGAACAGAAAAGTATAGCACAAGAGCAAAGAAAAGTGATTTTCACCCAAGAAAGGTATGCACATTGTGATTGGTCAGTTTTATGGGCCATTCTAATGCCCTGCTTCCCACATGCTTAAGTTGAAATATTTCCGTTTCTCCTGAAAGATATTATGCATCTTATCAGCCTCACTTTCTCCATCTGCCAACTGTAAGATATGAATCCTTTTTTTACCACTGATTTATGGTCTACATGTATCAATGCCCGAGCCACGCATGTGTACCTCTGTATCTCTTTGAATGAAGAAAATCTGGAATTTATACATACTGTTCTATCACATATTTTCTCAAACTCATTAATAATTCGCCAAATTAAAACGAAGAAAATAACAACCGTGAAGGAGGTTTGGATACCCGGTCTTAATAAGCATAGATTTTGACGATTTTGTTTCTCCGTTAACTCCTTAGATTTTGTTTCGATTGAGAAGATGTACTCGAGAAAGTGTTTCATCGGCTATCCAAACACCCGGTGAAACACTGTCCCTCGTGTTTGATATATTACTCCAAAAATGGGTATACGTTTGATAAGGGTATACCCAGGACTATAAACAACTAAATTTCTGCCTCCAATACAGAATACAGTGAGGTGCATAATGTCACATACAGGTATGTTGTTAACCACACCAAGTTAACAATCCACATAAATTGAGCAATTATTGAGCTATGTGTGACAGTCTCAAGTGAAATCATTGTTCTAAGCAGGTTTATAATGAATTATATATTGTCAGCCATGAGAACAGCATGTACATGTATAAAATACTAACTACACCCTTATGCAACCTGGAATACACAAGAGCACACCAAACCATGCCACAACGAGCATACAAAGAATATAAACATAAATCAAATAAGGAATACAGATTAGAGTAAAGATATTAGTATTGATGACTGAAGCAGCTCATTGATGGTGAACTAGAACATACAGTAGTCATGAGAGGTGGGCACTTTGCAATGATAACCCCAGAGATGAAATGCTACTAAGCTGGTTGAGACTGACCAGCTTTTAGGAAAAGCAAACACATGTAAGTAGAAACAATGATGAACACTAATTAATACAAGAAAAACAAAAACTGTCATAATTTCTTACATGTATAATATTATGTACATTAAAATAACATAAATCTAAGTTTGTATTTGTGATTTACTGAGCAAAAATTCCTGTCAGGTAATAATTTATGAGACCAAAGGTTAAATAAAAATTAACCTCATTATGAAATTGACAGCCAGCAAGAAACCCAATTGTTATTGAGAAGGCCTACTCTGGGACCTTAAGTCGCCGTAACTTAAGGCGACTTTGGGTGATTTAAGGCGACTTTAGGCAATTTAAGCAAAATTGGCAGAAAAAACATTGCGACTTTAGGCGGTTTAAGGCGATTTTAGNAGTAATTCAGCTTCCATCGCATATTTAACCCTGTAAAAAGATATTTCAGTGCAAGTAACATTGTCCAAAAAGGTTTGCCTCAAAAATGGTAAAAATGGGCGTAAGAAGCTGGGGTTTTATAATTTTGCTACTGGATTTCGTCAGAAATCAAGCGGTCCGGTCTCTCAGAAGACAATATAACTTCCCTCTATTACATTACAATGTCTGATTCCTATTCCACCCGTGTCAAGAAACTAATTTAATTTAATCTTCTGTGAACACTCAAGAAACTAATTTATAAACCTAAAAATTAAACTACTATTCAAGTGTAAAATGAAAAAGAAAACTTCAAACAACACCTTCTGTCACGCTCAGTTGTATTTGACAGTACGTCAACAAAGAATCTTGGCTAGGTTTCTCATTTCACACGCGATTTAGAGTTAAGAAACGGTATGCAGCTACTTTTTAATTCTACTGTCAAACTCGCTGACCCAGTGAAATTTTTAAGAAACAAGTGGCTACACAGTAGAGTTTGAAAGAAAGGTAATATGTTACGTGAATTTAAATAAACATACTCAACACTTGCCTATCGATTCTCGTCAACCAACCGGAACGTCCACTGAATATTCATTCCCCGAGTAATTCCTTATGTACATTAGAACAGGATATCTTCTCATAACGTCCGTTATGAAAATATAACTTAGGAATGAAACTAATGTACTTACCGAGGGCAATTGACTCGCTGAAGATTCCAAGGGGGGAGGGGTGTGTGCGTTAACTCGACATCAGTCTAGTCGTTATTGGGGTATGGAGACTAACACCATTTAGGATGGGTGGGGAACAAGTTGCCTCAAAATCATGGCAGAGCCGCTTGACGATGTAAGGGGAAACCGAGTTCTTTTGTATCGCTGTACTTAAAAACAACTTGTCTTGATCTTGTGACAGCAAACCCTGCTCACAAATGTTTCGGGAATTTTCGGTCAATTCAAGCTTAATCCTCGTCTCCTGCATGATTGTGACGCAGTGTGGCACTAGCCCACTAGCGCCAGCCTCAAATGTTACACTAGCTAAAAAGCTCTGATGCCGACTCACATACAGTATATTCCTTCCTTTTTGGTTTCACATCACATTGCATATTGGACAGGTGAAATGTTATTTTAAGCAGTGAGGTTTGTGTTTTCTTTTTGTTTTCTTTTTTTTTTTTTACTTGGTGTATAGGGCCTTTCATTACTCGAACGGATGTTGCCACATAATGNCTATTCCACCCGTGTCAAGAAACTAATTTAATTTAATCTTCTGTGAACACTCAAGAAACTAATTTATAAAGCTAAAAATTAAACTACTATTCAAGTGTAAAATGAAAAAGAAAACTTCAAACAACATTCGAACTCACCCTCTGTCATGCTCAGTTGTATTTGACAGTACGTCAACAAAGAATCATGGCTGTGTTTCACATTTCACACGCGATTTAGAGTTTAGAAACGGTATGCAGCTGCTTTTTAATTCTACTCCTGTCAAACTCGCTGGCCCAGTGAAATTTTAAGAAACAAGTGGCTACACAGTAGAGTTTGAAAGAAAGGTAATATGTTACGAGAATTTAAATAAACATACTCTACACTTGCCTATTGATTCTCGTCAACCAACCGGAACGTCCCCGGAATATTTATTCCCCGAGTAATTCCTGATGTACATTAGAACAGGATATCTTCTCATAACGTACGTTATGAAAATATGACTTAGGAATGAAACTAATGTACTTACCAAGGGCAATTGACTCGTTAAAGATCCCAAGGGGGGAGGGGTGTGTGCGTTAACTTGACATCAGTCTAGTCGTTATTGGGGTATGGATACTGACACCATTTAGGATGGGTGGGGAACAAGTTGCCTCAAAATCATGGCAGAGAGGCTTGACGACGTCAGGGGAAACCGAGGTCTCTTGTATCGCTGTGCTTAAAAACAACTTGTCTTGTTCTTGTCACCACAAACCCTGCTCACGGTCCACGCTTCGGTCAATTCAAACTCAATCCTCGTCTCCTGCATGATTGCGACGCAGGCTAGTGTGGCACTAGCCCCCTAGCGCCAGCCTCAAATGTTGCACTAGCTACAAAAACTCTGATGCCGACTCAAATACGTATATTCCTTCCTGTTTGGTTTTACATCACATTTCATGTTGGACAGGTCAAATGTTATTTTAGGCAGTGAGGTTTCTGTTTTCATTTTGTTTTCTTTTTATTACTTGGTGTATAGGGCCTTTCATTACTCGGACGGATGTTGCCACATAATGCCGCTGCGTTATTTCAGCTGATTTGATTTACTTTTGCCAGTTTAGGTTAGTCTGGATGGGCTTGCTGGCAAGCTCAGTTATCAGTTACACATTCGACGATCTCTCTGCTCAGTTAAATTTTCAGCCTCAACTGTCACTAAATTGTGATTGCCATGGTTAAAAAAACTACAGTACAACTCGGAAAGGAATGCTTTCCATTTGGTGCAGACGTCTTTCCAATATAGCCTAGATTATCACTTCTGTCATCAAAACTTTCAATTTATAATAGTATTTTCTTTTTGTGTTCGTGTCGGTCGATTTATCCATACCCGGGAACAGTTTATGTTCACCAGTTTGTATGTCCGCTTTGAACATGTTTACGTCGCATAACAATAGTATCAGCACTATAAATAGTTCGCCTGCCAAGCCAAAACAAAACAACATTAAAAGGGGTAAACCCCATCCAGGCTTTCAGTTTGGTGTATTGTTCTACTGAACTCATCCAATCAAAGCGCTCCACGTTCACATTCGTACTCTCTATCGATCGTTGCACTGAGAGAAATAATCAGTAAAGCTAGCAAAGGGACATTTTGGATCGAGTCATTCAGCTTTTACGATGAATTGGACCTTAACTGTCTGCACTGTTTTGATTCTCAGTGCTTCGCGGCCAGCTTGTGCAGAGCAGGGTAAGTGGAATAAATAAAGTAAACGTCAATGGCAGGGGTGTTTACTGTTGAAACTTCAACTATAACAGCTGTGGTTGGATCTCTTATGGTTTTGAACTCTCTAAAGTGGTTGCTGCCAGCGACTGACACAAATTAAACGTGGAACACAACGGCGAAGGAAATATGCGCCTTACGTACGTAACCGGCTAACCTGTTCAGTGCAAAACGTACGTCGTTCAGATATATGTGTTTCCCTGACTATAAGAGATTTATATTTTATGGAAGGAAGCCGTGGACAGTTTTGTAATCCTCGATGGTCCTCACCAGTGACCTGAATATAACATCTCGCAATCTATGAACGATAGCACATGCCTTTTCTGGATCGTAGTAGTGAAAACACAGTTGTGCATCAATTTAAACACTTCCGGTTTGAGCTCACGATCCGATTTCTGAAATGTATCTTTACTGACAGAATATTGTTTACCGGTTTACAAGTATGGTATAATCATAGTTTTATTATTTAGCATTTCTAGATAAGTTTCCTTGGTTTTAATGGTTGACTTCCTTCTGCTAAGCCGTCTGCAGAGTGATGTTGCTTTTCAAATTCACCTGAGTTTCGTTTGAAGTGCAGAGAAGTAAAGCTAAATGGTTTTGCTGGCAGCTCGTAGGATGTCAACGGCTGGATCGATTGGATTTCAGTTACAGAAGAGAGTTCAGATATTTTCAAGCAAACGCGATTTTATGTTGTAAAATTCACATCGCGGTTTGAACAAAGCATTGATTTTTCCTAGAAAATGGCCTAAAAATAGACTCGAACAAACTTTTGCCCCAGGCTCCCAGCATTCTGTAAGGACAGCAAAGCCAATCCAAAGACACAATACAAATAACTTAGCCCGGTCTTTTTTGCTATCCATATCAAGCAAATTTGATCAAGAAATCGTCAATTGTATGCTTGATTTCAGTTCAAGACCAATAGTGTGAACTTTAAATGTAATATAGAGCTACAATATTTATTATCTCAGTTAAGATTAAGAATTGCCAGGCAGATCATTGGGACTACGCGTTGCTTGGATCAGATGCTGTCACTACGGGTTTTCACGTGCATTTGCAACACTTCAAAGCGCTGGAGCAGCTGGGTTGGGCGCCAAGGAGACAGAGCGGATACCTGGATCGAGAGCTGGGCAGCCCATGTGACGAGGGACCAGAATGCTCATCAGAAAATCAAAGAGTGATGCTGGCAGTTCGTAGGATGTCAACGGCTGGATCGATTGGATTTCAGTTACAGAAGAGAGTTCAGGTATTTTCAAGCAAACGCGATTTTATGTTGTAAAATTCACATCGCGGTTTGAACAAAGCATTGATTTTTCCTAGAAAATGGCCTAAAAATAGACTCGAACAAACTTTTGCCCCAGGCTCCCAGCATTCTGTAAGGACAGCAAAGCCAATCCAAAGACACAATACAAATAACTTAGCCCGGTCTTTTTTGCTATCCATATCAAGCAAATTTGATCAAGAAATCGTCAATTGTATGCTTGATTTCAGTTCAAGACCAATAGTGTGAACTTTAANGCTAGAAGTAATATAAATATTCAAATGCTTAGCAGTGTTATTATCAACGAAAGAATAAGATTGTTTATTTAAGTGTTAGCACCATTATTTCGTTAATATTATTATTATTATTATTATTATTTTGTTAATATTAGCATTAGTATTAATATATCGTAATTGCATGTGAGCAACTTTTGAGATGCCGCAGAGCCACGTTAGTGCTCATAACACGTTATAAGGTATTTATACTCAAGTGTTTTCTTTATGCAAAAACATAGTGTCATTACTAGAATCAGTGACAAGATGGGACCGGTATTAAATTAGTACCTGTGGTACCTGTCAGATTCGTACTTCAATGATATGTTGTGATCTTGTGCTGTTTTTGTATTAAAAGAAAAGAATGTTACCAAGCAAGTTATAAGCGGTCTAGAAAAAAAAAGCCTTACTTGCATCAGCAGCATCATAAATAACAGCCTCAGGGTTTGCAATAGCAGTCAAATAAGTATCAGCCTCTATCAGGATTGACATGTAAATTTGCATTAGAAGTAACAATAGCTTTAGGCATTATATTGGGATTATTGGGACTGGCTTAAGTTTTAACAACAGCATTAGCATCAGCAGTGGTACTGGCTTAACAATTTTATTAATTAGCCTCATCGTTAACATTAGCGGTGGCAATAGCATTGCATTAGAATTGGCATTAGCATTGGAAGTAGCATTAGCATTGGTATTGGCATTGGAATTAGCATTGGAATTAGCTTTGATATTGGCATTGGTATTAGCATTGGTATTAGCATTGGAAGTAGCATTAGCATTGGAATTAGCATTGGTATCGGCATTGCAAATAGTATTAGCACTGGCATTGGTTTTGGCACTGGAAGTAGCATTAGCATTAGCATTAGCATTGGTATTGGCATCAGCATTGATATTAGCGTTGGTATCGGCGTTGGAAACAGCATTAGCATTGGCATTGGAAGTAGCATTGGTATTGGTATCGGCATTAGCATTGGAAGAAGCATTAGCTTTGGTATCGGCCTTAGAAGAAGCATTAACATTGACATTAGCATTGGTAATGAAATAGAAATTAGCATTGGCATTGATATCGGCATTGGCATCAGAAGTAGCATTGGTATCTGCATTGACATTGGAAGTAGCATTAGCATTTACATTGGCATAGCAATTAGCATTGGCATTGGTATCTGCATTGACATTGGAAGTAGCATTAGCATTTACATTGGCACAGAAATTAGCATTGGCATTGGTATTTGCATTGACATTAGAAGTAGCATTAGTATTTATATTGGCATAGGAATTAGCATCGGCATTGGCATTGGCATAGACATTAGCATTGGTATTGGCATTAAATTAGCATTAACATTGGCATTGAGTTTTGCATTAGCATTGATATCGGCACCAGTTGGAAATAGCATTAGCATTGATATTGGCTTTGGAAGTAGTTTTGATATTGATTGGGAACGAGTGTTAAAAAAAATTAAAAGCACAACTATCGAGGTTACCTCTGCTGCACCCTGCCCCCCCTGTTCCATATCCAGTACCCATTTATACATCTGGGTGAGGAGAGGCACTATGAGAGTATGAACACAATGCAATGATCCACAATAGGGGTCCATTACACCAACCATTGGGTCATCGTGCTTCCTCCTCCATAGGGTTAGAGTGGAGTTTACCCTAACATGACAGTTATGAGTCTAATAACCTTCTACAGGGGCAATTTGAGTGTGTTGAAACCTTTTTAACATTGTGTAACCGATAGCAACTTAAGGCGACTTTAGGCGACTTTAGGCGACTTAGGGCAACTTAAGGCGACTTAGGGCGACTTAAGGCGACTTAAGGCGACTTAAGGCGACTTTAAGCGACTTTAGGCGACTTTAGGCGACTTTAGGCGACTTAAGGTCCCAGAGTAGGCCTTGTAGAAATCTAACTGAATTTCTTTCAAACAACAGTTTCCAATTACCCTCTTAGGTAGTGATAAACTTTACACTTTAGCAAAATGCTTGCAGACTTAGTTGCAGCTGTAACTTAAGCTGTGTACATGTACTCATCAGGTCATTCAACAATTTCGAGCCTGAGTCTCACAACAGTGAATGCACGTCTTTTTATACTCTTGGGGATTTCATTATCCAGCTTTATTCTAAATCTTCCTCCGACACTCTGGAAAAACTAGAAAGTGCTACCATTTTGTTGTCCAAACCAAAACCAACAGGACAATTATACCTGATGGTGTGCAATGGCTTGGCAACATTCATTTCAAGTCTACTACAAACCTGCTAATGAACTGATGCAAGTGTGTAACCAGCCAAAGGTTTCAAACAACAATTCAATCTGAAAGAAATTGTGCTGAAGTGTGACGTTTAGATGATACTCCTAATATGTGCAGAATTAATTGGAAAATATTATTTGAAGGAAAATTAGAAAGAGTTCTACCCAAGCAATTAGAGCATGAGTTTATAGAGATTTTTGTGACTGAGGTGACAGTTGATACCCTCTAATCAACTATCACCTCATAGAAATCTTGAGCTCATAATTATTGCAAAAAAGAGGTACAATTTGACAAGTCAATGAAACCTTAAGCTTTTCACAGAAAAAGAAATCAAATCCAATGAACACTTACAGTGAACTAATAGCACAAATATTTATATGGTTATATATCGATAATTTAAAAAAAGAAATACACTTGTAATATTACAAGGTACAAAGGAAACTTTGAAGAAGAGTGCCCACAACATCTGAAAGACACCAGGAAATGCTCAAGGGTTGTATTGACTATTACAGCAGCTACCCCAGGCACAATTTCACTTGATAGTCTTCAATTAATTCATTGCCATTTGCAAACAGTCCACCCCCTTGGTGAAATTATTTCAAATAATTACATGCACACCCCTGAAAAACCTCTTGAGCAGAAATAAAACAAATAGTTTAATATGTGAATAAAAAAAACATAAAATTGTTTCTGGTAAAAATTCATGGCAATTCTTCCCATAACAGATTATTTACAAGGCACCAAAGTTACCCTCCCTCCACAGAATACAGAAACCTACTGCCTACTGTACATGTATAGCTACATTGTAAACATGTTCACTGAAAAGAAATGTGCAAGTAGCACTAGACTTACCCACCTCCTTGTTGACAGTGCTTTAGGCATCCAACTCAGGAGGGGGTAGTTGGGTATAATTGTCACAGGGAGGAAGAAAGCCCCTTTGAGGGATTAAAAGTTGCATTCTGAGGACTTTTGGGGAATTGAAAATTTTGTTGTGAATTTTCTGGTAGGGACTTTTCTAGTAGGGACTTTTGGAACAGCTTTACAAAAGGAACAACCACAAAGGCTCTCATTTTCTGTCAAACAATTCATCGGTTTCATATACAAACAAATTACATGCATAAAAAAATGGCTAGCTAGTCTCCTTAGCAGCTGTCATTTGGCAGTCATCACACAATGCACCCTTCTCCAATCACAGCTGCTCAAATTAAACCTGAACAGTGTTCCTTTCCTTTTGTTTTGACCACAAACACTGACACCTATCAACAAAAGAATGACAGTTGCTGTTTGCCTAAACGCTGCAACTTTTTCTGATGTAAATTGCATTTAATTTCATTTTCTGGTGTGTGTCAAATTCAAAAGGCAACATAGCTGATACTAAGTGTCAGGATAAGACTCAAATTTGACTGTTTTTTGTTGGTGAATTTTGGCATAACTTACTCAGGAAAACATGAGCAAAGCCATTATTGGCTAAAACACAGCCATTGTTAGGGGAGAGAACATTACATGACAATGGCTGAGAAGCAGATGTGACTAAGCTAATAAAGAATACTTCCTATTTTATGATATGAAAAAGGGGCTTTTTGGGTCATGTTCAGCATCATAGGCCTTTTATTGAACTGATTGGACTTTTTGGGAGTCTAAATCAGCAATTTAGGGAAAAGCGAGCGATATGTAAATTTACCAGCAAGCAATATGTGATTTTAAATCAGCTTGAATAATCCCTGGATCAAATGAAAGTAAATATGAAAGCAGATAATCCTATATCTCCTTCCAGTTAACCTAAAATTTGGCTGTTTTTACAACCAGTTTAAAATTGGGTGATTGTTTTGCATCCCTACCCATCATTTTTACCTGGTTTTCTGTAAACACAACAACAAAACTGCCAGCTACATAGGTTTTCACTAAGATGTATGGGTTATTGACCAAGTGCGAGGTCAAGATGGCTGGATATTGGCCAGGTTCTTTTTTTGCATGTTTATGGACCGAGACGGAGTCGAGGTCCATAAACTTGCAATCTTGACCGAGCAAGCTTGGTCAATAAAGGATTTATCATATGGCTTTCGGGGAAATTTTTCTTGCAGGACAGGGCGGGTAGTCCCGAGCGGGCAAGATAGCTCCATCTTGCCCACTCGGGTAGTCAATCACAGCACAGGATTTGATTCATCTTGCCCGCTCACGGAGCTAGCCATGTAATAAATTGCATTATTATATGGAGAAGAGTGTTTTACTGGGAACTAAACCACTCGTAGATTCCATACGCC